GGAATTCGTTCGTTGTCGAAAACGAACGTAGGCAGGTACCTGCGTCGGAAAGGATCAACTAATACTATGAAAATCGCTTATTGTTAGGCTACTGCTTTTAAAATATTGCAAATGTACATGTATGTACATCTTAAAAGAAACTTGCAACACGCGCCAAATCGTTTAATTTTAGAAAATCAGTTACATTTATTATAGTTTTCAATGATTAATATTTTTCATAAAAATCTCATAGCATTTGTCTTGTAATAATTTTTTTAAACTAAACCTGAAAATTGATTTTTTATTTTTCATAACATTTTTATATAACTATATATTTTTATATTGCTACTTTTATATAACATGTAAATTCGATGTTTTAGTATATGGCTTTGCTGTAATGAAATCATTTAAGTTTTTTAAATTAAACTTTAGTATTAATAATAATAAATGTGATATATATATATATATATATGTGTGTGTGTGTGTGTGTTCATCAAATGCAACGTCAACTTGACTTTTATAAGAACAAACTTCATATATATTAGCAACTTTCAATGAAACAGTTATTTCAACTATCAGTTTCTTAACGTTGCCAGCGTTGAATCGTTAAAAATAACTATAGTTGAAAAATAACTAGTTATTTAACTAGTTGACGAAACCACGATAACCGTTTCGTTTCGTTGACGGCAAAACCGTCAACGACCCACCTCTACGTTGCACCAAAGTGTATATTTTTTAAATTTTTGATCCATGCTCAATTGCTATCTTCATTGTAAATGCCGTAGGTCACCAATACAGAAATAATTAAATATATAAAAAGATATTTCCACGTATAAAAATATACATTAAATTTCGTTGATTATAAAACTTTACAAAACGTCATGACCATTTGTTTCTAATAAATTCATTTCACCTCACTTGATTCCCACGAAATAAATAGTTCATTATTATTGTTCTATTATTCGACAATTGGCTGCAAACATTTCCATTCAAGATACATATAATATATATTAATAATATATATTATATATATCTTGTAATACATTATATAATATATTATATAATATATTATATATATATATATATATATATATATATATATATTTATATATATAATGTAATGCGTATATTACAGATTGGGTAAATTTGAATTTAAACTCGTGTACTAAGATATTTTTCATTCACGCTACATATGAATTACAATTCACAATAATATACACAGTTAGAAAAAAGCAATACTGAACAAGATAGAAAAATTTATTATTTTACATCAAAATCAAACTAAGTGCATTATTATTAACATGAACACTTTCATTTTCATATTAAGCTCAAAGCTCACCAGATATTATTATAAAAGAGGATTTACATATAGGAAAGTCGTAACCGACCCATTGATCTGTAGACGTGTTGGTGTAGAAAAGTTTTCGCCAACCATCGTTCCAGCTCCGATTTGTAGATCCAAACCAGAAATCCGAACTTCTGGTGACCAGACTTGATCATTAATAGACCGATCTATAATATCACTTTGGTATACCATAACATCAGTTGGTCGACCATGAACATTGCGTTTAGAGATTTTGTTCTGTTTATCTGGTCGGAGCTGAAATTTAGCTTCTAGTCTGATAGAACAAGGATTCATTGAAACTGTACCGGTGATTCTTGCCATTCTATTCCAAGAAAAAGGAATTAAAAACTCCCGCTCTCTAAATTCAACATGCGAAAGTGCCATATTAAATGCTCTTAAGTCCTCCTCGAAGTATGTTGCTTCATAATCTGCAGGCCATATGACATCAGCATTCTGCAGTATCCATCCGTTGATTGGATCATTATACCATTTAGCTCCAGGAAGAGGATTGAGTTCGTGGAATCGATTTCTGTATTTACTATTGAAATTCGGATCAGAGAGGTTTATCAAGTACTCACGAATATTGAACGGATACAAATACAAAGCTGCCTCCTCTCCATGAATAGCTTTACTCTCTATTGTGATTGAATGCCATTCATTTACCGATCCTTTAATTCTACCAATAGACTCAAGAAGATAATACATCCCTCTGGGTACCCTGTTGACCCAACTTAGTGATTGGGAAATGTCAATATTCAAATTTAAAACATTCGCAAGGTTCAATTTGTAGTATGCCAGATACAAACAAATCCTGTAGTACTGATATATGGTACAAATTTTCTCAAGTGCCATTGAATTGTCACCATCGTATGAATCGTCGGATGAATCGTCGGATGAATCTGTGCAGTATTTACTGATGAAACACATTCGTTTGTACTCATGTGCAGCAATAATACCAACACCACGCGTGGCCACAGGTAGTTGAATGGCATTTTTTTGACGATTTATACTCGTCGCAGCCAAAGACTTTTCCAACATCTTCACATTTTCTGAATCTGATTATCGATGCAGGTAAGCAATAATAATATATTAATGACAATGCCCTGTAATACTAGTAATTTCAATGATAAAAAAACTAATCACTTTGCATACAACTTTTTCATAACAATACGTTTTCGTACTGCCTGAACTGTTGTTAACGCGCTTTTCAAATTTCTTGTAATATCGATTGTTAGAACCCGAGATAAAGCGGTCGTAAGTTCTGGAGTTATGATCGATTATTATTATATTAGTTTTATTTAGTAAAATCACGTTTTAATTTCAAAGATATTAAGGGTTATATAAATTATTAGATCCTTGATTTCTATATTAACACTATGCCATCCGGCGACACCACAATGGTGTCAGTCACTCAAAACACACACACGCACACATACATACATCAATTTTTAAGGAATGCCAAAATGTTCAGAAACCCCTGAATCGTAAAGATCAGGGGCGTGACTACCGCCTCATCAATTATATGGAACCCCGGGTCAGGAGAGCCCCCGACGAGCGAAAGCAAGAATGGATAAAAACTTTAAAGCCAAACAACGATTTTCAAAGAAAAAAATTAAATAATTTTCGGCATATTTGGCATTTCCTTTTATTATCGAATTTTTCTAAAAAAAAAGGTCGCTGTTTTCAACTTTTAAGCCCAACCCTTTAGAGAATTTATATTTGGCTGCGCAATATTTAAAGTTGATTTTTATATTTATTATAAACTGTGTATCTACTTTTCGAACTCAAAAGAATATCCATAATATTTAGCAAATGAGAATAGGCAATTATACATGTGTTTTAGCTGATAATAAAGCCTATAAGGCTGTATTATTAATTACTGTGGCAGATTTTACGGCCACAAGACATTTCAATAAGTTAATATTATTGTGGATTGTATTATGAACAAATCTATACAACTAATCCAGCTTAATATTTTCCATCAAAAATTTATAAAATTATTGTATAAGCGGTAAAAAAATTTATAGTTAGATTAAGATAAATATCATCATTTAAATCATCTTAATCATTTTGATCGCCAAGCCAATCATTCATAGTTTGCGAATGTATTGTTGGTCCCAATTATTAGGTGTATTTTATTTGTTTTTATTTTTATAAGTAACTAAACAAATATTTCAAAACCTGTGCGACGTTAGTATTTTACGACAAGCATGCACAAAAAATTACAACCGGAGAAACTTTTTTTTCCAAATCAAGAGATAATAAAAGTTTCTAAAAAACTGTACACTAAATACTGTAAAGATATCTCAGGTAATCTTCATGACCAACGTGTTTGAAATCATATATTAAAAACAAAATATTTAGTAATTCCTACTTCCTAACGTAATAACAACATACATTTTTTTCTTCGGCCTTCCAGTTACAATCGCAACTGTCAAAATAGATTTTTCAAAATTAAAACTAATCAAAAATTACCTAAGAACTTTAAGAGAGAAACGTTTATCAGACCTGTCACTAATCGTCTCTAAAGGCAAAAACTTAAAAAAAAAAAAAATGAAGATATCAATACTTAACGATTCACTGTTTTGAAAAAAGATGAGGAGAGTAAATATATGTTTGAAATCATTTGTAAAATTTTTAGAAAATATACAGATAGATAAGGATAAATAAATATTCCTTATTTTATGCTTTTTTTTATATTTTTTAAAAAATTAATACCCTTTTTAAGGTGATACGGAACCCTGCCAAGGTACGCTACGCCCCTGGTAAAGATATGCAAAAATTTTCAATTTCGATTTTTGGACGATTACAATAACTTACCCTATGGGAAGTTAATTATGTTCAAATTGGTATGTTCAATAATACTCTCTCAGTATTTAGATGCCAATAACTCTGTACATACTAAAATGTAACAAAAAAATGTCAACAAATCATATAGTTTTAAATGTTCCAATTATTAATTGCTTGGTTTAATACTGTATAATAGTGTAGTGTATTTTTGTGTTTTCTTTGTTCCACTGAATGACTGAATGGGGCAATCCAGATATGATCATAATATCTTAATAATAATATATATATATATATATATATATATATATATATATATATATATAGAGCTAAGATAGTTATCTTAGGCCAATTGGCTCCAAACACATTTAAGAACAATCAAAATGATCTCATTCTTTCAATATATAATGATGATGATGAAAAATTTAAGTATTTATGTAGAAGTAGAATTAAATGAAAAGGAATGATATGTGAAAGTTATCATAAAAAAGCAAATTATCAGCTAATTTTTAAAGAAATATGTCAGTCAATATTTTTTCTGAAAGCACTTTGATCTTTTTGTGAAAGTTATTTAGGTAAAAAAAACAAAGCAATTAGTAAATCAAACAGGCATTGATAAAAAGGATGATAAAGCACTAGAAAATATTACATAAAATGAATACACATGTTTCGAACTTCAGGCCAAATTGTTACATGGGCTGTTAAGTAATAATATAAAGTTATATGACCCATTCTATTCTCTCATCTTTCTAGGGAAAGAAAAATCAACATGCCTTTTTGGAAACAAGTTTGTTATAACGAGCAATCAGGCATTATTGGAAAAAATTCAAAAATCATGTTATTAGAAAAAAAAATGTTAAGACAACACCACGCGCAAGATCTAACAGACCTCTAACAACATCCGGGGGCAACTCCATGGGCTGATTTTCTCTTATAATCATTTCGTGCTTACGGGGTACTTCTGTAAAGTTTATTTTAACCACTTACCATAAAATGTTACACAAGTAAGTTATCAGAATAAAAGAAAAATAATTTGACCATTTATCACGAAAGTGGTGTAAGAGCAATTTGTTATGAAAATTAAAGGTTAGAATATCTGTTAGTTATAAATCTAGGACATGTTATAAACCAGGACTTACACCACTTTATTGGACATAAAAATATAACATAATATAGAACAAAATATAATGATGTATTGCACCAAAAATATTACATGATAACTCTCTTTTTTCTGCACCACTTTCAAAATAAATGGTCCAAGTATCGATATTTATAGTAGTACTCTCAAACTCTGAGAGAAATAAAATTTTAGATATAAAGAAATATCAAGTAATACATAATAACAATATCCTCGCATCATACAAATAAACGATCATAACCTCTGACAAATAAAGTTGTATGCATAGATTATATTCACTATTCAATACCCACCCATGTTGTGGCAGTTTTATGTTTTTATGTTTTTATTATCCTCAATGAGAAGAGAATGAAATTTCATAAGTATATTATTCTTCCGGAGCTAAATTTCTTTTATTTATTAAAGATTTGGTTCTTCTCATTAATATACGTACATTATGATTAAAAATCTCCTATTGTAGAACGCATTTAATATTGCAAAATAATTGTTCCAAGAATATGGTAGTATATATAACCTAAAAAAGTAATTTTAAAAGCTTTTAAGTGTAAATGTATAACAATTGAATAAGTTCAACACAATGAGACAAACAATAAATCAATACTTTAAACATATTCAATGAACGAGTTGATACGAACCTAAAATATACAAACAAAAACAACTAATTGACATTTTGCGTTCATAACACATTGAAGATAAAGAAAGGTCATACCACACGCGACACGCAGTGATACCAACATATCGCTTTGCAAAAAGACATTAAAAACTAAAGGCAGTACACACAATAGTTTTACTTATACAAAGTCGTATCGGGCATTTTTCTTGTGTTTAACAAATTGTTAAAATGTGTAACTAAAGATCAGTGATCGGGAAACTGGGGATAAATTACCCCAAAAAGAGTAGAAAATAAAAAGTACGTATTTTTAAATTATTTTTTTTAACTTCCCGTAGGGCAAGTTATAGTAATCGCAAAAAAATCGAAAATGAAAATTTTTATATATCTTTACGTTTCAAAAACTTCTGAACATTTTGGCATACCTTAGAAAAAATGGATGTATGTGCGTGTGTGTATGTGTGTGTGCGGATACAAATTTTCGTCGACGATTTCGATTCGTGTTGATAAGGAGACGTGCTGATTAGTTTTTGGCAAAGGCAGGACTAGCCGTTCTGAAGATATGGGGCAAAAAGTGCCAAAAACGGTAACTCAGTTTTTAAGAGAACGGAGCGTCCGATTTTAATAATTCAAAAAACATTTTACTTGTATTGACAAGATGAAGAATTGATCAAACTTTCATGAAGGCAGGTCTAGCGGTTTCGGATATCTAACAAAAAAAGTAAAAACTAGTGGGGGGTATGGCATCGTGCCTTAAGGCAAATTGCTGGAACTTCCCGTACCGTAACAAAATGTTCGAGGAATACTGAATGTTTTCAAATAGATTATTATAAATATTGTAACATTATTGTAATTATTTTCGATATAGGTACAAAAAAACTAAAAAAAAAAATTGTTTTTTCCAAAATCAATTATTTTTCTCAAGACAAGCAGAAAGTTCTTTGAATCATTTAAATCGGACGCTTAGTTCTTCAAAACTAATCAGCTCTTTTCCTTATCAATAGGAATCGAATGTTTTTTGAACCATTCAAATCGGTTGATCCGTGCGCCCGAAAACGTGACTGGAAATTTGTATCCATACATACATACACACACACACACACACACACATCCATTCTTTCTGAAGTATGCCAAAACGTTCAGAAACCTTCAAAACGTCGAGAAATGTAAAAATTTTCAATTCCGATTTTCGGCCCATTACAATAACTAACCCTACGGGAAGTTAAAAAATGCCATTTGGCGGTCAAATATGCACATCAAATTATCAAATATTTTTTGAGATTTTAACAATGAGTATAAATTTTGTTTACATTCCTATGGGTTCCGTACCAATGTTTATCCGTTTGACGGCGACGCGGCGCTTACGCGCTTTGACATTTGTCTCTATGCAGTTAAAGCAGTACGATTGCTTTGAAAAAAAGTTCAGAATTTCCAAAATATGTCAAAATATAAAAAAAAAATTTTTTTTTAAAAAAAAGTAATTTTTATCAAATTTATAGTTTCTCAAAAATCTAATTTTTCGGAAGTATTTTTTTTTTCAAAAATGTTAATCGTTTTTAAAAATATAATACCTTTTGGTACGGGAAGTTCCAACAATTTGCCTTAAGGCACGATGCCATGCGCTCCACTAGTTTATTGTATTTCCTTACCTAGTTGTCCAAATGGGGGTAATATCTCTTTGTCATGAGAGTAATATTAACTTACAAGGTAACCTTTAATGCTTCTTTTTCTATGCCCTCAGGTTTACTCTTCTGAGATTTTGAGTCAAACCGAACCCCATAAAATATTATAGGCCTATGAAGTGGTTTAATTATAAAAATTAATTAAAGTAGGGAAAAATGCGCTACGCGCGTAGCGTTTCCTGTTAATACAGTGGTTTCAAAACCTTTTTCGCGCAGTGCCCCCGCTGTAATAAAAAAAATGTTGCGCCTCCCTTAATTTTTATCAACAATTTTATTTGAGAAATACTTTATAAAAGTATATAATTATATATAATTATTAAAAGACTATAAAAATAATATGTAAGGGGGCGCGTCCATTAATCACGTGAGGTTTTTAGGGGGAGGGGGGTTAGACAAAAAATCACGAAATATCACGTTGGGGAGGGGGGGTATTATAAGATATCACGTGTATTTATTTTTTAACTGATTTTTTTTAAAAATTCAAACATTTTCAAAAAAAAGAATAAAAAAATTTTGTTTTTTCACGTAACTAAAAATACACGTGATGCTTGGTGAGGGAGGGGGGTAATTTTGAATATCACCACGTATCACCAAGGGGGAGGAGGGTCCAAAAATCCTTAAAAACTAGCTCACGTGATTAATGGACGCCCCCTAATATTAAGTAAAAATAGGCATAAACTAGTTGGTTAGTTACATGAACTTCCCGATATGTGTAAATAATCAAAATAATAAAAAAACAAGCAGAAAGTTCTTTGAATCATTCAAATCGGACGCTTAATTCTCTCAAAAACTGCCATTTTTTGCACATTTAGCTCTGTATCTTTGAAATGGTTGGACCTGCCTTTGCCAAAAACTAATCACCTCTTCTCCCTATCAATAAGAATCGAATGTTTTTTGAACCATTCAAATCGGTTAATTCGTGCGCCAGAAAACGAGGACGAAAAATAGCGGACATACAAAACACACACACACATCCATTTTTTTATGTATGCCAAAATGTTCAGAAACCTTCAAAACGTGAAGATATGCAAAAATTTTCATTTTCAATTTTCGGCCCATTACTATAACTACCCTACGGGAAGTTTATAATATTAATTTTTCATTCAATGTATTTATTATTTATTATATTAAAAACTGGCAAAAGGGCTTTTCATAGTAATTTTCGTTTACCACAGTTTTCCATAAAAAGTGGATTTTTTATGGAACCTATCTTCCAGGAAAACAAGGATGTTTAAACAAACGACTTAATAAATAGAATTATACCATTTGATAACTATGAAATACCAAGAAGTGTTAAATCAGCATTCTTCCAAAAGAAACTATAATTCTCAAAACATTAATAAAAACATGTCATAGATTCATATTTATTTGTATTAATAAATAAATACAAATATATTGACAGAACGGATTGTGAAATAATAAGTCTACTTTATTTTTTATCATATAATGCAAAATGTCAATAGAAGCTGCTGTCAAGGTATGTTTTAAATTATCAATTATTTGCTTGTTAGAAACCATTTTTAACGCATTTGCATATTTTTATTACTGACTCTAGAGTTGATCTAAACCTAGAGTTATTAAAATGAGCAACTACTCCTTAAGCAACTCACAGTGTGGAATCTTTCACAGTATAGAATATACTGAGTTCTTTCAATTTGATCAAAGAGATCAAATTGTTTTCAGGTATATTGCTGTTGGGTTATATATAATAATTATCATTGCCTTTTAATATTTTATATTTACTGTTGTTGTTCTTATGTTTGAGGTTTATGATCGTTTGATTGTATTGCTTGAGGATATCATATTGTAAAGATTGAGCCATTTACCTACATAATGCAAGAATTTTCTCAGCTCTATATGTTGATATGAAATTCTTTGGACCGTGAGAAGTATTATTTTGAAAAAGTGAAAATGATTTGATGTTTTCGAAGTCAATTTTGGTTTACTCAATTAAGAACAATATGTATAATATAACATTAACTTATTTGTCAAAATAGAATAATGAATTACAAATGTATCAAAGATAAACATTCGAATTAAAACTGGCATCCTCATTAACTTAACAATGAATTTCTTATAAATGAATCGTAAACGTAATACACAATTATCAACTTTTCAAATGTGTGCGTATAATTTTATATGTTTTTCAAATTTTTATCAGTGATATTAAACAATATATTGGAAGTTTATTTAAAAATAAAGATAGATAGACAAAACAATATTATTGTATATTATTATATCACTCTATTTCAATATTTTTAACTGGATTGCTGGAAGCAGTAAGTGGCTCAATCATTTTACATACAATTGTATTGAAATGCAAACTAGATTTGCTAATAATTTATCTCTTTAGATCGAACGTTATTATTTTCGAATATAAATGTATGTTATAAAATATAATAAAAGTACTTACTGGGCTGAGAGTCTTCGATCACCTTCGGGGCAAACAATGCTTTAAAGTGAGGCTTGCAATATAGTTCGCTCTCGTGGCTTTCATATGTATCCACACTGAAATGAGTGAAACAAAAATTCAAAAAAACATCCAGAATTTTTCAGTAGCAAGTTTTCATCATATTCAAGTATGTGATATAAATGCAGTCGAAGATTTATTAAAAATATGAGACATATAAAGAAAGAAGTATAATCCACATTACATTTTTCATGGTAAACATCTGATACAAAGTGAAAAGTATAATTGAAAAAAAAAATTTGTAATAAAGTGTATTTTGTAATGTTGCTATTGTTTTCGTTATTTAAAATAAAATAATGGGACAATTGAATACAATGAATCAATCGATTATTTAAACTTGTGAACTGGTTTTGAATAACATCAGTTCAAAATTTTTAATAATAATAAATTTTGTAAAATATGTTACTATAAAAATATATGAAATGTAAACATACGTGAGTTGTTTATTGCAATCTTTGCATCTGAAACAGTTCTTGTGATATACTCTGTTTTCGGCTTTAATTTGTTCCATCTGGAAAACAACACGAGAGCAGCCTTTGCATTTCTTTTCATTTTCCAATCCCTGCAAAATAATATTTAAAATAGTTTGACTTTGCCAGTTGCAGAAAAATGTGTTAAAAGATAATGGCCAATCATAAACAATTATTTCTTAAAAATTATTAGCCTTGAGTTACTTTCCTTGATGACGATACATAAGGTAAATATAGATGCTGTCTTACTGTTAGTTCAAATTATATTTAATATGTATAATATTTCATGCAATTTAGAAATGTGTTACAATTTTGTAAATAACTTAGTGTCTTTTACGCTGTCGATATAATATAATTAAATACTTAATACTTACATTAGTACCATCTGGGGATTTCAGGTCACTGCTTGATTTTGAGTTGGCCAAACTTTTCTTTTGCAAAGCATCAAATTTGTTGAAGCTGGATTTCTGTAAAAAATAATCAAAATTTATATTAAAAACAATAAAAAGAATATATATTTAAACCCAATGTGCAAAATGTGCTGTATGTATAAAAGTGCTCCCTGCATACTCCAAGTGCTATTATTTACAATAAACATACAAATATATCATAAAAACAAATCATTTATTTTAAAAACCTAGAAAAGATGGAAAGTTTGTTAGTAGATCTGTCTGATAAGTGCAAAATGCAATATTAATGACTTACCATTTTGTAAAGATTGCTTAGGCTATTTAAAGCTTCAAAGTGCATTTTACAAGATCATAACTTTATTTTTTTAAATTCAAATATTTTTGAAGAAATAATAGCAACCCAATAAAAAAAATGAGGGTGTACTTTATTTGCAGCAACTTTAGTTTTCAAAATCTCGGCGTAAGCTTTTTCTTGCAATACTTACTTGCAAAACGTTTTTATTTTTTTGGAAAATATTTTAGTTTTATAGTGCATATACAAATAAACGTTCTAATGTGCAATTTATCATAAATTTGCCCCACAAACTTAGCAATTTTTGAGAAGCAGCTTTTTACTTCAGCAAAACAAGTGCAACCCAAGTTTCACAATTTTATCTCAAAATAACGACGTTGTTACTAATCATGCGTTTTAGAGTGCAATATTTCTACCACATATAACTAGTTGATGATCAATGTTTATAAGGAAAAGAATGATCTTCAATAATATTATAAAATATATTCAATTTGTTTGTGTACAGAACGTTTATATCTCAGACATATGTACAAATAAATGTAAATTTATTTATGATAGGGCGCCCAGTAGTTAAAATAAATTAAATTAAATTATTCGCGATGCTTAAAATTAATAGGATGACAAAATTAATTGGATGAATATGAAGATTTCAATTACACGATGATGTAATACTATTAAAATTGCACTTTAATTTAATCAAATGAAAAAGATTTTGGTATATCATAAAGAAATTTGGATAATATTCAAAGAATTCTACTAATCAAAATTTTTAATTTGATTAATAATAATTAAAAGTTAAAAAGAGTGCTCTCCCGAAAATAGACGTAAGCTAACTATAGTATTTAGAAAAATTGTTGTGGATGCATTCCCCAGTATCATTTCTACAGTAGAAAAGGAGAATCCATGATTGAAGACGAATTTCAAATCTATATTTAGAAAATAATAATTTTGGTTTAAATTGGGCACACTGCAACACCGACTGCTTAAGAAATCAATATGATGCAAAAGACTTATGAAAACTATTTAAATTTACAATGCCAATACTCAGTAAGTTCATACATTAAATCAAATTTTAATTTTGATTTTTCCTATTAAATTTTTCTTATTCAGGAGCAATCTACAAACTACTCCCTTTCTGATTATTCCTCAACCAGAGGTTAATAAATAATTTTCCCTATTCAATTTTTCTTATTTACAAGTAGCTCGCAAACTGTCCCATTGAATAATAAAACAGCGCATTATCCAAGTGCAGTTACAATTTGCTTAATACTTAAACAAATCACTGACTTAAGCCTAATGTGCAATCACTAATTATTCAAAATTTTCTCACAAACCGTAACAAATAACTAAATGCCCAACAGTCAACCCAATCGCCAAAATGGTGATGGTGATTTCTAACCCAATCACCTTGATGGTGATTCAAGACTAAATGAAATTGAATTTAATCAATAACTTAGCCAATTTCATCTCACATTCAGGATTATTTACAAAACATCTACCAATCTATGTGGTTGTTCGTTATTTACAAATTTTGTATCCCCGTGCATCCACCCAACATTCCCACCAATCATCGATTTCACCTAGATGGAACTATTTTACTATATAGAACTAAGTTTGATAAAAAAAAATTGAATTCCATCTTCACTACTTCCAAATATCTCCCATTTACGGTATCACCAATTGCCCTAAATTCTCCCTGGTTACCGATTTGCCCTTGGTGGTGATTTATCATTGATTTGAGTTGATCAATAATTTCATTAAATACCACTTTATTATTTACAAACATATAATGCTCCAATAATAAACCAAATAATGTGCTTTATATACAAACATCCCATAAAATAATTATGTAGCCCAGTGCAACCATCGAACATTTACCCCAGTCACCAGTTTGACCATGAGGGTGATTTCTCACCATATCGAATTGGGTGATCGAAACTCTTCTCTTCACCGGCTGATGATGATAACTGTTGGTCGCCTTCGTACTTTGGGACGACATCAGACGTATCTGGTGACGGACAGGTGACGCCAACGGTGATGGGACAGTGTTGCATTCTGCCTTGACCGCGTTTGCCAAATCGCAGTATGATTTACGCTTTATCGGGATTTAGGATTAAGATGTAATGATTTAATTCAATAAAAATATTAGTCACAGAAACAATTGCATTATTTCCCAAGATAAGTAAAAATATCTCTTACTAAACTGATATTTTCTTATCTATTTGGGATCCAATTCGACTTTATTTAGCACAGACAAATATTCACTAGTTGCATTAGTCATAACTTAGTTATTTATACTTTGACTTATTCTAGACGAATCACACGTTGTTTTCTATCTAAACATCTTTGATCGTTTGCCAAAAAATAACCACGTTGTTTTCAGACACTTCAAGTGTGCGTTGGCTATTTACCTACTTATTTTGGGAATATACGTGGAAAGTTTTGCTGGAATGCTGTAAAAATGTTTTGATTCGGTAGTTGTAACTTTATATTATAGTACACGTAAAATAATGTTCAGTTTCTATCCGGAAGAAATCAAAGTTACGCCAAATAAAAAATTAAATGAATTCGGTTTATGAGATAAGTGAAAGATTAAATGTATCAAATCAACTATCAATAACCGCTTAATTAATCGTTTTATAATTCCCACTAGGTTAAAGAAACATATACAAATGTTTGAATCCAATTCTTTAAATTAAATTCAAATAGAGTGTCAATAATCATTTACTACAAATGTAACGATTTTAGTTTTGTGATGTAAGTTTACGGATATTACACTGTACAAATTATACTGAAATGTATTATTACCTTTTCGCCTATTTTTTTCCTTAAATCTCCTTCACAATAAGCGAGTTTTGAAACAAATATTGTAATAGTAAACAGATATTTAAGAAGCAACTTCAACGCAGATTAATATATTAGTTGTATGTATTTATTATATCTACTAATACAAAATATTAATGGTTTAATGTAGAATTAGCAGTATGCATTTTCGTATAACGTGATTATCAATCAATTAAATGAAGTTTTAAGGTAAGTCCGACTGATAACAGCGCAGCGTTTTCAATAATAATTCAAGAAATTTGACAACGGCGCAGTCTGAAGAAATTAAGACACCCAATGTGTAGGGTGTGTGATGCAAGTTTGACAGATTTTTCACGTAGGATAAAACGATCACAGCTAACAATCATTTATTTGTATTAGATTTCATATCAAAGACTAAAAATTATAGTAATCTCAAGTCATATTTAAGTTAAGAATCCAATAAATTTGACAACTTTGGAAGGTTATACCTAATTTTGTCAGATCTCTCAGATAGTATTGGTAAAAACAATTGTTTTTTGCTAAATTAGTAACATGATATAACGTAAATGGTCATAAGATAGTTCGACATTTGAAACAAGATAGGTACAACTGATATAATAAAATTCTAGAATGGAAAATCAAACCAGGATTTATCTCATGAAAACCGAAGCAGTAATCTAATAACGCAGTTTAACAAGTTGACTGCTGTTTCTTTGGACCTATTTCCTATGCTGAAACGTTTTAATTAAAATTAGGGAAAATAGAAGCTGTCGACATATTGTCTATTTTTATTTATCATGAAAGTGTGAGAGGTTGTAATGATTTGTGAGGTTGAAAGCAACAATTGTCATTTAGACTTGTTTGAAGGACAAGAAGGACCAGCTTACATCAGAAGATCAATATGTCATTATTAGGACCAAAGTAACAAACTAGGAACGAATAGTTTCAATTTTATTACAAATATGCTTATAATATACGTGTTATGATGCATTTAAGTGTTAAGGGGGTCTTCCTATGTGATGGGTTGAAAAAATCGTTTTTTTTTCATAAATTGCTCCCTTAACATGTTTAGAATACGGTAGTAAAGCGATTTTAGAAAATTCGAAGTCGTTTTAATATACAGCAGGTAAAAGAAGGAGCGTTTTTTCTCAATACTGTGTTTTTCAAACTTTCCTCCATTGTATCTCAGAAACGGCTGGACCGAATTACTTGAAATTTACAGGGCACACTCAATATATTTAAACGCATGGAGTGAACTATCATCAATCACTTCGATTTTTTTTATAGCAAAAAACAAAAAAAAAACGCCTAATTTGCAACTTTTATTTCAAATGCCTATCAAAAATCCAATTATATTCATTTGATTATAGGTCATTCCGTGCTTTTAAGCCTACAAATTAAAACGCCGTTTATTTTTTTTTTCAGATCAGCCGATCAGCCGGAATCGTGGAGGAAGTGGGAGCTCTTTTTTTCGAGGCGGGGGTGTTCAGAGCGCTGTAACTCTAGTTTGACTGAATATTTTTAGCTGAAATTTTATATTTATACTGTCCAAATATGTGTTAATAAATGATAAAAAACTTGAAGCTCTAAATATTTACTGGTCGTAGAAAAAAAATCCTAAAATATCCCTAAAAACAGGCCGTCACATAGGAAGACCCCCTTAAAATAAATGTGGCACTGTTGGCAGTGTGCGACAGTCGCATCAGACAAAAAGTAGAGGATGTCGACACGTTGTCTACACCATCAACGTTTTAAAGTAATATTTCTCAGGTTTAATGACTGTTCAGTTGTAAAAAGACGATACGCAGTTTACGTAAAGCAACTTTATATCAACATGGTTATAAATGTTCTCAATTAAAGTATCACAAAATTAAAACAAATAATGACATGTCTCTAAGTAATTGTATCACGTTATACGAAAAGTGTTTAATATCAACTACGGATTAATTATAAATATTAA